GCCGATTATCCTTGAAGACCTTTTTATGACACTCTTAGGACGTGATGCATGTGGAAGCCTGTAAAAGTGCCCACACATTCACAGGGACTGTCAACTCTGTCGAGTGACATATAAAGGATGTGAATTATGGGGGGATGTATTCGGTCGTTTGGGTTGATCTATTTATTTCATATTATTATGCAGAATGTAAGACGGACAACGCGATGCTATCGGAAACTATTTCCAGGTCGAACCAGTGATAAGATTTAGAGGGAAAACGTGCTGTGTGTACTCAACGGAGTGAGTAATGTGTGAAATACGGGAAAGGGAGCTACAGGTCTAATCGAAACTGAAGCAACATGTCCCTGTGAAACACTTGTGGGTTCGTATAGGCACCAACATTTATACTAAAGTAACTTTTTTTTCTAAATAATAATAATAATAATAAACAAGCATTTATAAGGGTGATAAATATAATGAAACTCCATTTGATCATAAAGAAAATATTTTAGTGCATCACAATACTGTACTGTAGGTGTAGACAGAAATATAGGATTAAAGAGGACACGATCACCGAAATAGTGACACGCAGATTGGGTATTGCTGTGGGGAAAAGCACTCCTCGCATCAAAACTTCGCATTGTGCTTATCTTCAGACTACTTTGGGCTTTGACTCAAAGATAAATTACCTGTTCCCGTAGTTACTCTTCGTGGCTAGCTATATACCTGTTCCTCTGGGGCAGAGTACATTGTCCACACAATCAGACCTTTACTTGATCTAGTTAACGAGTATCACTGGGCCTTGCTGAATAGTGGTGTGGCTAGGACTATCAGCAGTTCGATCGTTTCACTCGTAGTAGAATCAAATCACACGGCTAATGTGACCGAGACGTTTCGACCCCTGTACTGTGCTTGCAACCGTTGATGAGGCGATTAAGAGTCTAATTTGGCCACAGCAGAAGACATTAGAATCCGACTCTATAATCCTCCTCTATTTTCATAAAACAATCCGTAAAACATTCGATCCTCTATGGTCAACACCATGCGGCACAGTCAACACCCCACCCACCCTGATGACCCGAACCAATGAATTTATGCAACAACCAAATTGTGATTAATAGCTGGTCATGGAATTGGAATGTTGAATGCTTTTCTTCATATCTCGACATGATTTCTCCCCGCTGCTAAACATTTTGATAAATTG